CCAGTGTTGGGAACCCTCACTCTTCAGGTTGTATGAACATATGTATGTATACACTTATATATGCATACATATATACATACATACTTATACATATATATAAATATATATACATATATATAAACATATATATATGTATAATATTTATTTTTGAATAAGAGAGCGAGAGAGAATTCCAAGCAGGCTTTGTACTGTTGGCACAGAGCCTGACTTGGGGCTAGAACTCACGAACCGTGAGATCATGATCTGAGCTGAAATCAAAAGTCGGACACTCAGCCAACTGAGCCACCTAAGTGCCCCCAGATTGCTGAAATCTTCAAGGGAGACAGTGTGGTATGGTTCTGAGCCCAGAGTGCACGGTTAGAATCACTTGGGTAAGTTCAAACAAAGAACGCTTCCCCTGCTCTATCCCAAAGATTCTGTTTCAGTTCTGGAATGGAGTGTGGGTTAGTGTTTTTAAAAAGCTCCATAGTTGAATTCAATGTGTATCTGGGGTTGAGGATCCCTGATGCAGAGGAGGAAATGTAGAGGCTCAAAGAAAAAACTCAGTGTTACCCGGATTCTTGTGTTTTACCACTGCCAAACTATCTTTCTCCCCCTTCCTGTTTTGCTCCTTCATACTTTTGGAACAAGAAATAAAAGCATGGAAGCCATGTGTCTAGTATTATCCCTGATGGCTACTTCAGATTGCCCAGAATAAAGAGGTAAACTGGGGTTACTTTAATTGCTAGCAGCCTCTATGGTGAAGATTCTTGGGGATATAAGGAAGATGGCGTACAGTCTTACCTGCACAGAGCCAGAACCCATGCAGAATTGGAATGTTAGTCAGTGTACCATGGAGTAACTAGTTCTCTCGGCTCACCCCTTCCCCCACTCCAGCAGCCACAGTGCCTCCATGACGTCTTCTGCCACTCCATTTCCCCTACATTTCCTGAATTCCTGCCACACTGGGTCTTTCCTGTTCCTTGAATATGCCAAGTCTGGTTCCTACCACAGAATCTTGGCCCTTGCTTCCTCTTACTCAAATATTTTGCCTCTGGATATCTACATGGCCTGCTTCCTTCTTCATTCAAGTCTTTGCTTAAAGGATGCCTCATCAGGAAGGTCATTCTCAACGCTGCTACCAAAAATAAGCATTTTCTTCTCCCACTCTGTCCTTTTAAGCAGTTTTCATTTTCTTCATAGCGCTAATCACCTCCTGACCTCTCTTCACTTATTTCTTTATACTGTTTTTCCTGCTCTAAGACAACAGGATTTTACTTGTTTTATTCCCTGAGATTCCTTTGGGCCTGTAGCAATACAGGTACACAGTAGCTCAACAGATTTTAGGCTGAATGAATGCGTAATACTTGCTCACAGTGGCTACTGCCTGTCCGTGGCTGACTGTGAGCTTGCCTGAGAAGGAGGGGCTGGGCCACAGGCATCTTTGCATCTGTTGTGCTTACTTATTTATTTATTTTTGAGAGAGAGCAACACAAGCCTGGGAGAGACAGAGAGTGAGGGGGACAGAGGATCCGAAGCGGGCTCTGAGCTGACAGCAGAGAGCCTGACGTGGGGCTCGAACTCGCAAGCTGTGAGATCATGACCTGAGCAGAGTCGGCTGCTCAACCACCTGAGCCACCCAGGTGCCCCTCTCTTGTGCTTATTTAGTGCAGTGCCTGAACCATTGTGCTGATTCAGTCAGTGTTCACTGAGTGAATAAAAAAGGCAAAATACTAAGAATAATAAAGCATATAAGGAAGAAAGAGGAACCATGGGAAAGAGAAATAAAAACAACCCTACAGTTGTTTGATATGAGGCCATAGTCTTGTTTTTAAATATTATGTAGATTGTTATTGATATAAAGTATATATTCCATTGCTTATATTGATTTCATGGCAGGTGGGGTTGTTTGTTGGAGAGCTTAGAAATCCTGTAAGGTGTAAGGATCATGTGTAGTTGATATCTTATTGATTAGCTCATTAGAATTGTTTAGCTAATGATAGAAATAACTTGGAACGTGATCTTTATTTTACTTTTGAAGAACCATGCAAAGCACTGGTTCTGTCACTTGGGGTGGAGGAAGCTAAGGTCTGCTGTCTTTACAATGTTGAAGATGTACCCTGAACTCAGCAAGTAGGAAAATCTCTCTCCTACTCACACTCCCATCTCCATTTGTACCTATTCTCCTCTTTCTGTTTTGGGTCTTACTACCCTCTCCTGTTATTAAGAAATTTTTATATGTAGTTTAAATTTTTTTTTTTTTACATTTTTATTTATTTTTGAGAGACAGAGACAGAGCACAAGTGGGGGAGGGGCAGAGAGAGAATGAGACACAGATCCGAAGCAGGCTCCAGGCTCTGAGCTGTCAGCACAGAGCCCGGTACGGGGCTCGAACTCACAAACTGTGAGATCATGACCTGAGCCGAAGTCGAACGCTTAACCGACTGAGCCACCCAGGCGCCCTTATATGTAGTTTTAATAGGTGAAAATTTGCATTGTTTGTGTTACCATATTGATATGGTTAAAGATTTTTCTTAGTCTAGGACTAAGAAAAGCCACTAAAAAAAAAGCTAACTTAAAGCAAAGTCATATGTGCTTCATTGTTCAAGAACACTGTGACACCGTTCATGTAATGAAAAGTTTGTGAGAATTTTACTCACTTTAAATCCTAACCATCTTCTGTGAATAAGTCTGACATTCATCAGAGAGTACATCTGAAGTCAGCCGGATGTTATTTTCAGTTATTTGAGAAAATTTGTACTGTATTGAGTGTGAAGCACTGAGTTAGGGCTGGAGATTTAACTGGGGTATCTACTCAGAGTTCTTGTCTAAACAGTCTAGAGGGACTGACAAACTTTCCCCCCCCCCCAAAGTTTTATTTACTTATTTTGGGAGGGAGAGGGAGAGAGAATCCCAATCAGTCTTTGAACTGTCAGCACAGAGCCTAATGAGGGACTCAATCTCAGGAACTGTGAGATCATGACCTGAGTCCAAATCAAGAGTTGGGTGCTCAACTGACTGAGCCACTCAGGTGCCCCACTGGCAAACTTTTTTAATAGGTCAAATAATAAATATTTAGGTTTGAGGACCATAAGGTGTCTGTCACTGTTAGTGGACTATGCCATCATTGAAGGTAAAAGGACAGTGTGGTTGTGTTCCAATAAAACTTTATTTACAAAGAGGCCAGAAGCCTGAATTTAGCCTGTAGGTGAAATTTGTCCAACATTCTACCTGGTCTAGAGGATAAAGGGAGAGAAATGGGATTCAAGGATCCAAACAATTTAGCTCGATTGTATCTCTTTAAATAAATTCTTTTTTTTTTCTTTTCTTTTCTTTTCTTTTTTTCTTTTTTTTTTTTTGCACTTAGTAAAGGATTTTAAGTTAACTTACTTGTTTGGATTAAATGGTGGTAGAAGAAAGTCCATCACCACCACCCCCCAATTTGGCATTTTGTTGGCATCTTCCAAAGTAGCATTCATCACAAGACTAACCTGAAAATTACAATAATGTGTTGTCTTTAGTGCCTTAGGCTTCACTGTAATGTGAGCTTTGTGGTTATTTTAGAATAACATTCAGCCTGAATGTTATTCTAAAAATAAAACTGATTATCATTCATAGTCTGTCAAATGACTAAGACATGTGTAAGACAGTGAATTAATCAGAAGCAACTAGATCATTTTATTTTATTTTATTTTTTTAACATTTATTCATTATTTTGAGAGACAGACAGCACAGTCAGGGGAGGGGCAGAGAGAGGGGGAGACACAGAATCCGAAGCAGGCTCCAGGCTCCAAGCTGTCAGCACAGAGCCTGATGCGGGGCTTGAACTCATGAAATGCGAGATCATGACCTGAGCCGAAGTCGGAGGCTCAACCGACTGAGCCACCCAGGCGCCCACAACTGGATCATTTTAAATATAAGAATAAGAGAGGCGCCTCAGTCGGAAGAGCATGTGACTCTTGATCTTGGGGTTGTGAGTTCGAGCCCCATGTTGGGTGTAGAGATTACTTAAAAGAATAAATAAATTAAAACTTAAAAAAAAAATTAAAAAATATAAGGATAAGAGCTGATGATCTAAAGGGAAGTTCTATACTTGATTTTGGGAGCAGTGTATACATTTGTGTATTAAGCGAGTTTGACCTTCTTTAGGAAGTCAAATCTGTCCCTCGTTTAATATTGTCTTTTAATTGTTCAAAAAGCTCCTTCCCCTGTGGTTTTTTTTCAGCAGTCTTCAGCCCTTGCGAAGTTAGTGATGGGACTGCGATTCGGGCACGGATGTATTTGGCCATTTGTAATGGGCAAGCTGGCTATGTGCAGATTTAGTAAAATGCTGCTGTGTGAACTTGTTACCTATTACTCCTAATTTATCCTTCTTTCAATAAGAGGTCCTTTGTTCACTGTTTCAGCACAGAATAGAGGATTTATATCTTGGTGTTCATTCTCTACATCTCTGTTTTCAAAGAGGAAAACATTTGCTTCCCTCTGCTCATTTCTTCTATAATGCACCCAGGGGGTTTTGAAGGCTTATGCCAAGAATTCTTGGAGGGAGTTGGAGTACAACCATCGCCAAGAGGTTCAGTTCTTAATGACTTTAATTTTAGTTTAACAAATTGTCATGAGTGTTGCTGTTTTTGTCGTAGAAGACACCCCTTACCTCTTTCCTGAATGCTCAGTATGGTGAGAGTGAAGAAGGGAGGTGTTCTCGACTTTTTCCATCATTTTACACCATCTGCTCTTTTGTCCTCATTTCTAAGTATCATTGAATTTGGTTCTGATACTTATTAGGCAGTGTATTGTGCAGAGATTTCAAGCAACAAGCCAAATTCTGAATGCAGGCATGATTTATTTGGCTCACATAGTATTGTTAAATTTCTGAGTTAGTTGCCAGCACTTAAATGTCAAATGATTTCACTTTTTAGTGGCCAGTGACTTAAATTTCATTTGTCTTTTGATTTTCTGTATCATCATGCCAGTGGATGTTCAATAACTTTTCTTTAATGGTGCTGATTTTTCTTCCCTAGGCTAAAGATCTAATAATCACACCAGCCACCGTTTTAAAGGAAAAACCAGACCCAGCGACTCTGGTTTTTGGAAGCATTTTCACGGATCACATGTTGACCGTGGAGTGGTCCTCAGAGTTTGGATGGGATAAACCACATATCAAGCCGCTGCAGAACCTATCATTGCATCCTGGCTCATCAGCTTTCCATTATGCAGTGGAAGTAAGTACATGGGAAGCAATGAGGGGGACTTATTAGCTCTTCACTGTGAGTACACGGTAGCTCTTCCTGCTCAAATAGCTTGTGGGCAGTATAGGCTTTATCATATTTACTCAAGGATGTCATAAATGTCTTTAAAGCTTTCCCAATAGGCAGTTAAATTGAAGGTAAGTCTTAAGGACCAATTTTTCAGATGATTTGGAATTTTCCATAATGTCAATGAAGAAATTATTTACAGCAAATACAAGGACAGTAGGTAAGAGAATTAGCAATAAAAAATCTGGTACTGTTACTATTTTACTAAATCATTTCTAAGATCTTCTAATGACTGAGAAGGTGTTATTGAGTACAATATAATGGTTACATTTTAATGCTAACTGCATGCTTTTATGACCGGCATTAATGTGTAGTTATATGTGTTAAGAGACATGTAATTAAATGTCATTCTTCAGGCATGAGTAGAATAATTGTAAGCATAAAATATTAAATATTTGGAGAATGCTTTCTCTGGTCCTTGTTAGGATACACTCTTAGATTCACAATAGACTCCTCATTCCCTTGACCCTCGTTTTGTTTTACTCATTTTTACTGTGTTGGACATCTTTCCCAGAATATTAGAATCCTGGAAATAAGCAGTGGCCTACCTATTAAGGGACTAAAAGATGGTAGTAGTAGATATTTATAACAATAATGATAAAATTAGTTTTGTTTATTAAATTCCAGTAATGTGCTCTGAACCTTATATGGGTCATCTCATTTAATAGTGAGAAAACATAGTTAAATATTCAGGTCAGTCATCTGGCTCCGGGAATTTGGTCTCTGTTGTTCCATAGGGAACTCTTTGACTTGGGAAGCTTATTTAAAATCACTTTGTGCTTCCAATTTCTTTACCTATAAAATTGAAGTAGTGATAATACCTACTTCATAGTGCTATTATAAGGTTAAGGTAAGGTAATTTGTTTAAGCATACACACTCATGCCTGGTGCAGAAGGAGAGCCCAGTCCTTACCTACTATTTTTAACCCTTAAATCAGCATTATCATCTATTGTAGAAGCAGGTTCAGAAAAGTTAAGTTTCTTGGCCAAGGTTACACAATATTAAGGGAAAAGACAGGGTACAAATGCTGACTTCTGCTTTCTGCGATATCACTCCTAAATGCATACACTAAAATTATGAAGAGGCCTGTCCAATTAACTTATTCAAAATTATAAATTTGAACAATTTGGAAACCTGTTCAATGCCCAGTGTATCCACTAGATGTTGAACTTGAAGGTCTTCAGTTTCCATTCCCATCTCTGTGTCTGAACTGTATTAGCTTGGATGAATTCTTTGATTATTTGAACACTCCAAGCCTCCATTTCTTCAACTATAAAATAAATAAGCATGGTAGCTGCCCTTCCCTGTGTCATAGGGCATCTAAATAGATTTCCAACAAGTTTTCAAATGCCAGTGGCTATCAGAATATTTTTTAGCTTTCAAAAATCACAGTAATCCCTTCTCATGTACTTCCCATAGGCCACTGGTTCTCCAAGTGTGGTCCCTAGAGCAACAGCATTAATGTGGCCTGGGAGTTTGGTAGAAATCAGAAACTCTGAGGGTGGACATGTACTGTGTTTGAGACCACTGCCCTCAGATTTGCCATATTCCTTTCAGATTTTTAAGCATTTCCTTTATTTGCTCTTTATTATGACCTCTGTCATGTATGTATGGGTCTGCTTATGGATCTCATTTTTCATTGCACTGTCTTATCTATTCTATTCTGTTCTTTTGTTTTGTTTGTCTGTCTGCATAAATGCCACACTGTCTTGATGTCTGCCTGGGAAAAGTCCTTCTATTTTGCCTTTCAAGAGTGTCTTGGATGTTCTTGGCCCTTTGCTTTTCCATATAACTTTTTTTTTAATTAATTTATTTATTTTTGAGAGGCAGAGAGAGAGACCAAGAGTGAATGGGGGAGGGGCAGAGAGAGAGGGAGACACAGAATCCAAAGAAGGCTCCAGCCTCTGAGCTGTCAGCACAGAGCCCGATGCGGGGCCCGAACTCACGGACCATGAGATCATGACCTGAGCTGAAGTCAGATGCTCAACCGACTGAGCCAGCCAGGTGCCCCTTCCATATAACTTTTAAATTTAGTTTATCAAGTCAATCAACTTTTATAGCTTAGTTTGTTAAAAAGAAAATAAAACTCCCTGACATGATGTTCATTTGGGTTACACTGGATATATAAATTCATTTGGGAGAATCAACATCTTTATAATATTCAGTCTTTGGATCTGTGAGTGTGAGATTGCTTTCTGCATTTAGTTAGGTCTCTAGTGACTTGATAAAGTTTTATATTGTCTTTATGGGTCTTTGCTTCTTTTGGGCACGCCCCCCCCCCCATAGTCCTCTCTTAATTCTATCATAAATAGTGTTTTTATTTTCTAACTGCCGCTGTTACATAAGAATATAATTTTGTATTTGGTTACCTCATCTAAGGAAATACATTTCAAAAGAATATGTTGATTTGTGCTGATTTTCTACATATTTATTCTTACCTCTGTTTCATGATCTATGAGAGTATTTATTTATTTATTTATTTATGAGAGACAGAGCACAAGTCGGGGAGGGGCAGAGAGAGAATGAGACACAGAATCCGAAGCAGGCTCTAGGCTCTGAGCTGTCAGCACAGAGCCCGGCACGGGGCTTGAACCCACAGACCATGAGATCATGACTTGAGCCAAAGTCGGACGCTTAACCGACCGAGCCACCCAAGCACTCCTTTTTTCTATTCAGTCTAATACTTTTTATTTATTTTTGCCTTATTGTAGTTGCATATAGTTGCATAGTATTGAATTAAAGTAGTTACAGCGGGCAATTTGTGATGTCCCCACTCTGAAAAGAAAAGCTTTGGATTTTATCAATATGATGTTTGGTTCAAGTTCATTGTAGATATTTTTTTTTTAATTTTTTTAGTTCATTTATTCATTTTGAGAGAGAGTGTGAGTGTGGGAGGGTCAGAGAGAGACAGAGAGAATCCCAAGCAGGCTCTGCACCATCAGCACAGAGCCTGATGTGGGGCTTGAACTCACAAACTGTAAGATCATGACCTGAGCTGAAACCAAGTCAGACACTTAATCGACTGAGCCACCCAGGCGCCCCACATTGTAGATATTCTTTATCACTTAACAAAGTTTCCTTCTTAGTTACTTGGGAGGCTTTTTTTAAAGAGTCTCAAATGAGGGGCGCATGGGTGGTTCAGTGGGTTAAGCATCCCACTTTGGCTCAGGTCATGATCTCATAGTTCTGTGGATTTGAGTCTTGTGTCGGGCTCTGCGCTGACAGCTCAGAGCCTAGAGCCTGCTTTGGATTTGGTGTCTCCCTCTCTCTGCCCCTCCCCTGCTCATGCTCTGTCTCTCTCTCAAAAATAAATAAATGTTAAAAAGAATATTAAAAAATAAAAGCCTCAAATGAATGTTTAATTTTGTCAGATACATTTACTATATCTAATGAAATGATTATATAGTTTTTTTTTCTACCTAAGCTATTAATATAATGAATCTCATGTTTTCTTATGTTACATCAACTTCTGTTCCTGGGATAAATCCAACTTTTTCATGCTATGTTATCCTTTTGTATATTTTACGTCTGTTACTTTTAATGAGATTATCATATAATCTTTATATATATTTGAACCTATATCAGGTGCAAACAATTTTAATTTTTAAGTTTATTTATTTTGAGATAGAAAGTGCAAGCAGGAGAGGGGCAGAGAGAGAGAGAGAGAGAGAGAGAGAGAGAATCCCAAGCAGGCTCTGCACCCTCAGTGCAGAGCCCGATGTGGAACTCGAACGCCCGAACTGTGAGATCGTGACCTGAGCTGAAATCCAGAGTCGGATACTTAACCAAGTGAGCCACCCAGGCACCTCAGGTGCATATAATTTTTAAATTGTAAGGTAAATGGAATCCTGTGACATTACCTTTGAATTAAAGTTTATTTTGTTTTGCATTTACTAATATAACCTCACCAGCTTTACTTTAAAAAAAAATTTTTTTTTTACATTTATTTATTTTTAATAGAGAGAGAGACAGAGCACAAGTTGGAGAGGGGCAGAGAGAGGAGACACGGAATCTGAAGCAGGCTCCAGGCTCCGAGCTGTCAGCACAGAGCCTGACGCAGGGCTCGAACTCACAAACTGTGGGATCATGACCTAAGCCGAAGTCGGACGCTTAACCGACTAAGCCACCAGGTGCCCTAGACCACCAGCTTTACTTTATTTATTTAATTAAAAAAAAATTTTTTTTTAATGTTTTTTATTTATTTTTGAGGCAGAGAGAGACAGAGTATGAGCAGGAGAGGGGCAGAGAGAGGGAGACACAGAATGGAAGCAGGCTCTAGGCTCTGAGCTGTCAGCACAGAGCCCGACCTGGGGCTCGAACTCACAAACCAAGAGATCATGACCTGAGCCAAAGTCGGATACTTAACTGACTGAGCCACCCAGGCGCCTCCACCAACTTTAGCCAGAATTTGTATGACATAATTATTTTTATGTCTTTTTGTCTCATGTGTGTTTCAGATGTTATCAGCTGAGTCCAATCTGACAACTTTATCTTTTAACTGAAGCTTTAGTCCTATTACATTTAATAAGTTACTCACATATTTGTACCTAAATCTCATTTAGTGCTTTTACATTGTGCTGCATGATGTAGACTTCTTTTCTCATGTAAGCTCTAAGGCTATAAGCTTCTAAAGGCCCAACTATCATTCAGTTCGAATTTTCTGATTTCCTTAATTTTTCTTCCTTGACTCATACTTTAGTAAATGAGTTTCTTCTTTTCAAAATGTTGACATTCTGCGGCTGTATTTCTGATACTGATTTCTGATGTAAGGTTGGGAAATATGTGAAAAGAACATGCATTCTGCAGGTGGTGTGTGCAGGGCTCTGTGTATCCACTAGGCTAGTTTATTTTTCCTGTTCTTCAAATCTTCCATATCTTTACCGAATTTCAGCCTGTTTGTTCTGTCAGTTATTTAGAGAACCAGTGTTAAAATTTCCCACTAAAATTATTGATTTTTCTCTTTTCTGTGTGTATCAGTATACACCTACTCTTTAAATTATTATTAAGTGTAATTTATTGTCAAATTGGTTTCCATACAACACCCAGTGCTCATCCTAACAGGTGCCCTCCTCAATGCCCATCACCCGCTTTCCCCCCTCCCCCCCCCCATCAACCCTCAGTTCTCAGTATTAAGAGTCTCTTATGGTTAGTATGCACCTACTTCAAAGGTTTTTAACATCCCTGCCCAGTGGTTTGTCTGGGCGCCATTGTGAGAAAGGTGCCATGGCCCTAACACAGGATGGTCTTGAGCTGCTTGGGTTCTATGATTTGGGAGACTAAACCAACCCTGGTCACATCTAGATTATTTACTATCCAGAGTTTGAATGAGCCCGATTAAATGAAAGGATGCATGGGTGTTTAGGGCAGCAGGGTACCATGGGTTCTTTGCCTCCATTTTCATTGTCTGGATAGTTTGCCATGTTTTGTGATTGGAGATGTTTTCTTCCCACCTACATTGAGGTGTTATTTAGTAATATGGCTCCTAGGTAAGGGATATCTTTGACTTCCTACCAGATTTTTGGTACTCAAAGAGTTCTTTTTCTTTTCTTTCTTCTTCTTTTTTTTTTTTTTTTTTCCTTAAAGAAGTTCTTTTTAGCCCAGCTACTCTAACCAGCCTGTCAACTGCTGGCTTTTTCTAGATTTAGAGATCTTTGGTCTAAGTCAACAACTTTACATGATGAAGAAGATGAGCGCCAATGGAAAAGTCAGTCTTTTAAACACAGATTATTTTCATTAATGATTCCCTAAGATTTATTTCTCTTTTATCTTTAGTTATTTGAAGGATTGAAGGCATTTCGAGGAGTAGATAATAAAATTCGACTCTTTCGGCCAAACCTCAACATGGATAGAATGTACCGATCCGCTGTGAGGGCCACTTTGCCGGTATGTGAGTGGATTTAGGAGTTTCTTGTATGTTTCTTTCTTTTAATGTAATGGGTCATTGTGAATTTACCACGGAATAAATCATTTCTGAATGTAGCTGACCCTTGAGCAATGCAGGGGTCAGGGGAACTGGTCCCCACGTGGTTGAAAATCTGTTTGTAACTTAGACTCCCCAAAAACTTGACGAAGAGCCTACTGTTGACTGGAAACCTTACCAAAACATAAACACTTGATTAACACATATTTTTTATGTTGTGTGTATTATATACTTAATTCTTGCAATAAAGTAAGCTAGAGAAAAGGAAATGTTACTAAGAAAATCATAAGGAAGAGAAAATACATTACAGTACTGAATTATATTTATTAAAAAAAAATCAATCTACATGCAAGTGCACCTGTGCGATTTAAACCCATGTTGTTCAAGAGTCAACTGTACTTAGATTGATATACAGTACAAACATGTGAACACTGAAGTTACTTCTGATCTACTTTGTAATCAGTGAGGTAAAAATTAGTAATTCCAGAGTCTATTTTTTGTGAGTGTCTGTGGGGGATTAATATGTATGTAGGAGATAATAGGATAAGGAAGAAAAATGTACCTCAAACTAAAATAAATAAAATTTGAAGACCTTATGAAATTATAATATGTGAAATGGAAAATATGGTGTGCCACACAGATATTTTGGGAGTATCTTGCCTAATTGCTTTGGGCAATAGCAAGTTTGCAGTGACTTATTTTGATATTTTACCCCAAGCTTTATTATTTTTTTTAAATGATATCAAAATGGTTTGTCATAGCCATTGGTTCCTGTCTGGAACATTGTTAAAGAGCAGAATTCATTATACAGTGGGTTGGATTTAGATTATAAGGCTCATATCAAGGTAGGACGTGTCTTAGATTACTTCCCTTGCCTGAGACGTGACCAGGCTGCCTTTCTGAGCTGAAGAAGCTGTTTTCTTCTTTTACATGTTCTGTGTATCTAACTTTCAGGAACCTAGCCCAAGCTCCACTTTTGAAGAAGCCCAAGTAACCACTCCTTTTTAGCCAGGTTCTTCCCTTTCCTTCCTACTTTTGTAACCCATGCTTCACCTACCTCCTTCAGAGGCCATAATATAGTACCAGAAGGGAAATTACAGTGAATTCTTTGAACTTGTTTAATTCTTGTGCCATTACAAACTACCAGGAAATACTTTAAAGTGGGGACAGGAGGAAAGGGACATAACATCTCTTGGACCTCAGCTCTACCACAAACTGTGTTTGATGGTTTTGCATTCTTTGCCTGTTGAATCATAACAGTAAGCCATTTCCAAGAAGGTGTATGTTGTACATTTTAGTAGCACTTTTGTACTAGAAGAAAATTCGAGCCCTAAGAGGTTAAATGACTTGCCTTAAGCCACAGAGTAAAGGGACATGGCAAGAAACTGGGTGCAAATCTATTTAATTCCTGGTCAAGTTCTCTTTCCACTAAATCTTATCGCTAGACAACAGTACCAGAGATGCCTACAGGTGATGCAGGGTGATGATATGTCCTATATGATGGACAATCCTGATTTCTTTAATATTGTGCTGTGATTCCTGGTTCTAAGTTCCCATTTAAATAGCCAATTCTTGATGTCATGGGTTTTGTTCACATGCGTGTTTCTGACTCATTTCAGTCTTGGATAACCCATCACATACATTTCTGACAGTATGTTTCTCTGCCCTGTTGAGTGAGTAGAAATTACTTATTTTACATACTGTCACCTATCTAGTACATGAAAACCTTTTTCTCCTTAGAAATAAACCCTTTGCCTTTGCCCATTTTCCTGTTGGGTCATCTGTGTCTTTCTTACTGATTTTCAGAATATCTTAACATATTCAAGTTATGATCCTTGGTTGGTTATGTGTTATGAATAACTTTACCCAATTTGTTGCTTCTTACATCTTCTAAAGAACAGAAATCATTAAGTTTTAAATAGCCAAATTATACCCATTTTTTTCCTTTATGATTTGTGCTTTATATCTCTGATTTAGGAATTCTTGTCTACCTTTAGGAGACACAGGTATTTTAAAATTTTTACTCCATAAAAGTCTTAATGTCTTATCGTATTTAACTATATAATCCAACTCTAGTTGATATTAGCTACAGTAAGAGGTAGGGATCCAACATTTTATCTCCTCCATATGGATAATCCATCATGCCATCACAATTTTGGTGGAAAAAAAAAAACACAGAAAAAAAATTCTTGTCTGGTTTTATTATTACTGCTTTTTTTTTTTTTTTTTTAACAGTCTAAAGCTTTCGTGAGGATCATTTCTTATTGCTCCAGTGGAAGAAAATCCCATTATTCATTATGCTTTACATTCCTTCAGGTATTTGACAAGGAAGAGCTTTTAGAGTGCATTCAACAGCTTGTGAAACTGGATCAAGAATGGGTCCCCTATTCAACAACTGCTAGTCTCTATATTCGTCCTACATTCATTGGAACTGAGGTACAAACCGACTCCTGTTTTGGGGTACTTCGGTAGACAAGTTATCATTGTTTATTCTTGTGTGAAACTTCTAGCATATAGTTTGAAAGGGCTGCCAGCCACATCATAAATGACTCCTTTCTCCTGATTATCAAGATTAGGTGTTGGCAAACATTTCTTTAAAGGACCGGATGGTAAATATATGAGGCTTTGTGGGCCATTTGGTTTCTGTCACAACTACTTGATTCCACCATTGTGGCACAGAAGCAGCAGCCACAGTTACCAACGTAGATGAGCAATGAACAGGGCTGTTTGCCTTCCTTTAATCAAGATTAACCAAATACTGATTTCCTCAATGTTTTTCTGAGTTTCCTCAGAGGCATTCCTCAGTGTCATGTCTCGTCTTGGCAGTAGTTTTCCAAGGTCGAAGTGGTAATGGTTTTGAAATTTGGAGAAGGAAGAGCTGCTGCTTCTTATTTTCATTTTCCTGAAGTCTTAAGATTACTAAGGATTGGGAGTGGAAGGCCCTCTTCCCTCACAGGAAATGTTGAAAATAAAGTTCACAATGGGAGGGTTAGAACTTGAGAGTAGTAGCTTTAAACAGCATGGCTGTAAGATCTGCTGGTGAGCCACACTCTACTGGCTGAGGCCCTTGCAAAAGGACATGCCTGGAAAGGCTAAGGCTGTTTGTGTGGGTTGAGTATGTTCTATAAAGACCCTCTCACTTGTCTCCTTCCTCTTAGAGTGAGTGATACGAAGGGATAATTGATGGGTGGGGGAGATTGAGTGTGGGTAGCATATGGAGATCTTTAGGAATAGAGAGGAAACATAATGCTTTTACTATAGTCTAGCCATTCTGTTCTCTACTAAGTAATTGTAAGCTTACCAAGTTCTCTACTATGCCATCTGGATGCAAGAAGTAGGGAAATAGAAGGCCATAGAATAAATACCTAAATGGTCTTTTGACACCCTCTTGATGCCTTTGAAAGACTATTAAGAATCTAGATAATGAACTTCATGAACTGTAGTCTCCCTAGCAAACTTGAAAGAATTGGGACAATTTAAAAAATGATCTGCTCCTTATGTCTCCAGCGTTTTAATATTAATGAACTTTTAATCTATTTTATATTTTTGTTTATATAATTTTATTTTTTTAGTTTTTTATATTATTTAACTTTAGGATAGGAAGAAGCAATTTTTAATGTTTGTTGAAACATTTTTACTAATCTGGAAGCACTCTCTTCCCGTTATCCTGAAGTAGTTTCCCACTGTAAGATCTAATTCTTCTATTCCGAGTTTGTTGAGAATTTTTGTCACAAATGGATGTTGGATTTTGTTGAATGATTTTTCTATATGTCTTGACATGATTGTGATCTTGTTCTTCATTCTATAATTATAGTGTATTCATTTTTTGGTTTTAAAACAACCTTCCATTCCTGGACTAAATCCTACTTGGTTATGGTGAATAATTATATCTTGTATTCAGTTTGCAAGTATTTTGTTAAGAATGTATGTCAATGCTCCTAAAAGGTATTGGTCTGTAGTTTTCTAGCGTAATTAGTTCTGTGATTTAGCAAATTGTTTAGAGTCCCGGAATCCTATAATCTAGAGTTAGACCAGCTTTTAAATCTGATTTTATAGTCTAGCCTGTTGTCACAATAATCCCCTCTATTGGCAGTCTTCAACTTTTTGTATTTGAATTGCCCAAGTATTTTTTAAAATATATGTATTGACTCCCATCCCCAGAGATTTTCATTGAGTAAATCAGAATGGTAATTCTGATGCCTGCCCGTATTTAAGAATCTTGGTGACAAAAGCCATGCCAAGTAGTTCTCTTCCACTCTGCCAGCTTACATATTTGATCATGCCTTGGGCCTCAGAGTCAAGAATTTTTAAAAATCTGCTTTATAAGCAATAGGGTAAGAATTGAAGGAAATAATTGATATCATTTGATGTGTCAACATTATTTATATTTGGTTGGTATATTTATATCAACTAGAATTTTTCTAATGGTGTAGGCAGAAAAAAGATCACCTATAATTCAGAAATGAGCATAATACAAATAATAAAACATGGATTTAGGCATTTGTACTCTACACAGATGTTATATAATCTAGTCTGGTAATTATCATGCACTGTCTTTTCATGGTGGTTGCATTAATAAGTGAAGTATTGGCTGGAGTATTGGCTTAGTCTCAATGACTTCTGGTTCACTGGGATTACTTCATCAGAGATGACTAACTTTTGCTGCCCTTTTTACATTACTTGGTTTTGTGAGGGTTCTGTCTTGTCACTGGCTTCACAGAATAATTGTGGGCTCAACCTCCATATCAGTTATCTGATGTTTGGTCTTATCTACTGCTGGCTGAAATCCATTTTTTTTTTCATGTTCTTTTCATGAGTAGATTAACTGATTAAGGCAGTCTTCGATCAAAAAGGTATTTTGATTTCTTTGAATATATGTTGGGGTCATTTATTAAGTGATATCACCCCCTAGTCGATCTCTATTCCCAGGTATGATATTCCCTTATGTGTATAGAATATTCAGTGTTGAACAACAAATTTATTTGTATTGAGCTCCAGCCCAGATCCAAATAATCTAAATCTGTGGAGCCAGGATCAGAGACTCTGCATTTAAACAAACTCTCCAGGGATTTCTTAACTACTTTAAAGAGTATCACCATCTCAAACCTTGTGAAAGAATTAAGCATATGTCTGGCAGTCTTGAATGCTTTATTTGCTCCAGGGATTGTAAACTGGCACCAGGTAGAAATATTTATATCTTTGAAAGCTCAGTGTCATCCCAAGGGCAGGGTGTTGTTATCACTTTCAGGGGCCATGATATAACATTCAAATATTAATCATTCCTTCTCATGCCTAGTACAATTTGGTAGCTGCCATGTACTGAGACAGTGACTCTAATACCAACTTCTGAATTTCATTATATTTGCAATATGGTGCTTCTTTACATGTTTTATAATTAACCGACCCTTCATTTTTACCAATTTTCATAGGTAATACCTATGTATGAATGTATTTGTACAATTTGTCATATGTCTTCTGGCCTTTGATAATAATTGGATCCATTATTAAAATCCTTTTAGGTTTAGGATTGTAATAAACAGGAAAGTATTTTATTGGAACATTTATAATCAGCTAGTAATAATGTAACCAGTGAGTAGAGATTGCCAATAAAAAAATGCCAGGCTGCCAGTGGGTAGAAATTAAAAAAAAATTTTTTTCTATAAGGTTCATATTATTAAACAAAATACTAAACTGAATACATAAACCTTTTGTAACAGGCTTAAATTAGAGAGTAAAATCATTCATGTTACCAAAAGATTTTTCAGGGGTGCCTGGGTAGCTCAGGCGGTTGAGTGTCCAATTCTCAATCTCAGCTCAGGTCTTGATCTTGGGGTCGTGAGTTGAAGCCCATCATTGGGCTCCATGCTGCACCTGAAGCCTACTGTATTTATTTATTTCTTAAGTGTTTGTTTGTTTATATATTTATTTACAGAGGGAGAATGTGACCAGGGGAGGGGCAGAGAGAGAATCCCACGCAGGTTCCACACTGTCAGCACAGAGCCCAGTGCAGGGCTCGATCTCACCAACCATGAGATCATGACCTCAGCAGAAATCAAGTCAGACACTCAACCAACTGAGCCACCTAGGTGTCCCCTGAAGCCTACTTAAAAAAAAAAAAATTTCAGCATCCCTTTAATATCTTCTGAAGTATTTATAGGTAATTAAAGAGAAACTAAAAGCTGTAGAATGCCTCTGACCACAGCTGATTATGTGTCAATTAGAATTTAAGATAAAATCTGAAATCGTAATATTTAAATAAAGAACATTTACATGAACAGTTTCTAAATTTTCACTTTACCAGACAAGAAGCAAAAATTATGTGACTCTCAGGTTCAGTACCGGATACCGAACATTACATCTAAAAAAGCTGAGTTTCGCTGATTTTAACATGTTTTATCAAACTTCACTCTCTTTGGTAACTCCAGGCAGGTGCAGCTGTATGAACGTACAGACACAGGCTTTATTTTGTCAGTGATTCTAAGTGTACAGGTGATTTGACCATAGTCTGTAGCAAAATACGCACAGCCACGAACTCTGGAATCCTCTTGTATGGTCATGGCTCTCAGCCTTTCACTTTCCAGTTTCTCTCAGTGCCATCTCATCTCACTGGAGGCAGCACTGCATAATAGCAGGGCTGAGAAGCAGTGTCACAGGAAGGGTCGGGTCTGATGGTTAAGAGTCAGCTCACCCAGCCCCTTTGACCAGGTCTCAGGCTGACTGCCACAGATGTGTAAGCTACCAGCAGATTGGACTTTTTTTCAGCTGTACTCCAAGATCGACTGACCTTCGCTCATGTGGAGGTTGATGAATTCCTCATATTCAGTTAACTCCTACTTCTGCATTCAGAGTGCCCCTAAATAAATTTCTGCGCTTGAGCTCAACTAGAGAGGCAGTCTGCTTTTGGTCAATTCCAGCCTCAGATGCACAGAATACAATCTGAACAGTGCAGAGCATTTTCAGTCACTTCACATAAAACACTCTCCCCATCCACAACTTCTGGAAATCTGTCAGTATGACATTCTCATTAGAGCTCACATTTACAAAACTCCTGCTGCCAAATGGTCCACTCCTTGATTTCTGGTTCACTGCATAGGGAGCTTAAGGACATAAATTTCGTAGACATGTCTTTCTTTTCCTTTTATCACCTTGTAAAATCTTTATATCACCCATATAATGTAACCTATAATCATAACAGTTCCCATGAAAAGAATTCCCTTTATTCACTGCCTTTATTTATGCTTATACATCTTCTATCTTCCATCTTTTCTCTTCATTCTGTAGCCTCTATAGATGAAAGAATCTGAACAGATTTGACAACTAGTTACAGCAGCAATTAGTGATCGTTAACTTGGGTTTTGTCTACACTTTAATTTTTGTAATGTTTATTTTTGAGAGAAGGAGAGAGCGAGCGAGCAAGCGGGGGATAGGCAGAGAGA